AGCTCATCACAGTCATTGTTGCCTACTGGAGGATTAGCGCGTTGCAAATTGGTTCCTTTGTGATGAGCCAGAGCCATGGTGCAGAAGCCTGGTGGAGTTAATCCAGGCCGATCGGTTCCATGCAAGGTCCCAATCCCTTCAACATGCTGGGCGGGCTCAACCCCGAACTGTCCGGGGAGGGATTCTAATTTGAGGGCTCGCCTAAGAAGGGATGTAAATTAAGTCGCGATATGGCATCATCGACTCTTCAGGTATACAATGTGTGTGTTCCTTCAGTAGCCCTAGCAGTCTTGTAATGAGTCCGTGAATATTGTGGCTCAAGTCGAGTCGAGTGATACTATTTGCAGTGACTCAAAATGAGTCTTTGTAAGAATACAGTGACTTAAGTTGGGTAGAGTCGTTCTAAGACAAAGACTTGAGTAATGACTCAAATTCAGGTTGAGTCGTTTGGAAATAATGGAAGTTTAATTCTGAGGAGTGACTCGGGTCAAGTTGCGTATTCGTAGGTAGTGACTCAAGTTGAGTCGTTCTAAGTAATTGATAAAAGTTAAATAGTTCTAAGGCAGTGACTCGAGTTGGTCATTCGAAGGCAGTAGCCCAGAGGCATTGACTCATTCTAAAAAAAGTGACTGTTTGAGTTTAGTTATTCTAAGGCAGTAACTCGAGTCACATTTAGTGCTTTGAAGGCAGTGCTCGAGTCAAGTCTTTAAGATAGCCACGTTGATTCGAGTTATGTCACATTCTTGCTTGAGTGACAAGAATTCGGGCGTGGAAGGATTTGGATGAATACTACCTAGAATTTCCTCCGTGTTGTGCAAAGTCGGATTTGATGAAACTGTCTAGTCCTTCGCCCTGAAGAGGATGAAGCTTTCCAATGGCGTAGCCAAGGGGGGCATGGGGGTGAGCACTTGCCCCCCCCCCCACAAATTTTCCGTGCCCCTCCCGAGATGCCCCCCACCAAAACACTGATAAGGTCCCTTTTCCTTTTTTTCAGTTAGCCAAAGGCCTACCTTTTACAATCTCTTATGTCAATGAATATAGCGAGGCATTATAGGGCCCAACTGGGAAATACTGCAATAGGAAGTTTGCGATATGTGCCCCCATGATATTCTGATCCCCCCCCCCCTCCCGTGCCCCTCCACTAAAAAAATCCTAGCTACGCCACTGAAGCTTCCATGAATGGAATAATGATTTTAAAAAGACCCAGTCAGTCCTGTCTGTCGGTCAGTGCGTGCGTGCGTGATTTAGAACACACTAGGCTGGCCCTCTGGGTCCAGCGCAAAGTTAGCCTTGAAAGATACACAGGTCAGGAAAGGACATTCATGTCAGGTTAGGTCAAGTCAGGTCAGGTCAGTCAGGTCAGGTCGGATTGGGTCGGTTGGGTCGGTTGGGTCGGGTCCGGCTTATGCAAGTCTAAATCACAAGAGACAGTCAGTCCGGTCCGGTCAGTCGGTCTGTCAGTGCGTGCGTGCTTTAAAGTGCACTAGGCTGGCCCTCTGGGACCAGCGCAAAAATAGTTTAGAAAGATGCATAGAAGGCCATGAGACACTTTAAAAGATCACTGACAGTAATAAATGATATCTAGAGACAACACAACACTGCAGGTGCACGCTTACACTCTATCTAAAGTGCTTTTATTGAATGAATATAAATTTAACACAGGAAAGAGACGTGGAAAAAAAGGTTTGTGCCATGATATGCCGAACTTTCTCTATCTTGTCTCTGACTACATATTTATTAAATTGATTGGGCTTTAAGTTAATGGCCATCATTTGCAAACACTTTTTTATTGGCGTTTCAAGAAACATAACAATAATGCAATCAATCGGATGCAGGTTATTAATAACAAACAAACAAACAAATTGTCGAAATTATTAACAGTAGATGACTTGTCATACTTTTGAGAAAACTGTGACAATGCATTTTCATTTTTCTCACGCAAAGCATGTTTCCGTTGACAGTTTGAGGGTTTGGTCCTACCCATCGCGAGGAAATGATGGTTATTTCTCTTGTGTGGCAAAAGACAGCATACTAGTCGCATTTCACAGGATGTTCATTGCTATCACTTACTTACAAAAACATGGGACATTTCATGATATTTGACAGTTTAAATTTGCAAATGGTGTCGATTACCTTAAACCTCTTTAAAATGTAAAGGAAAAAGAAAGAAAAAAGAAAAGAAAAGAAAACTAGACAAGATAAGTTTGCGGTAGAACCATGTCAATAAATTTTTTTGTGAGTATATGTGGTTCTGAAACGTCCCTCCTGTTCTTTTCGGGGCACACATACTCACAAAAGAGATATGTTCACATTGTGCTACCGCAAACCTATCTTATGTTAATATCTTTCCACCATGCAAATATTAAAACGTCAAAAGAAAACTATTTGCTGAAAAAAATAGGTCCAGTTCCTTTTTTTTTAAATTTATTTCCACCAGTTACTGAACTGCATGTATGTGCTTAACCATGTTCAAAAGGACAATTAAGAAATAGTAATAATCTATATAATTATGCCAACTTTTAGGCCGAAAAAAAGTTCTGCTTCCGGTTACCCGACCGACCCTATTTTTAGGCTGCGACCCAAAAATTGTATCGGCAATTCCCCCCCCCAAAAAAAAAAGAGAAAATAATGAATGAATAAATAAAAATAAAAACCTGTTGTCTTTTCTGTCTCCACAAAATACCTCTCAACAACCCTTCTGCGTCAAAAAAAAAAATGCTTGTATTTTTTCGTTTTCTTACTTACATTCGCTATTTTTTTTTCAAAAGAAACCTCCGTTATTTTTACAAATTCGCTTTGCACTATAACTAGTTCGCAATTCGATGTCACGGTGACTATAATCACGAGCGTAAGCTCAATGCGGCGGCGATCTGGTTAATTCACAGAATGATCTAGCTTGTCTGTGTATGTATTTTCCGTGTTGCACTACATGTACTCGTATTTGGAGTGATACAATGCAGCCTGTTTTTCTCGAAAATTTCGACCGTGAAAACGAGGTCTGCTGGCCACACATGCACAGTGCATCACTCACTTCGGAGTTTTGGCCAGCTTCCCGTCTTGACTAGCGTTGTGCATATGTTGCGAACGACCTGAATTTTCCATTATTTTATTAAGAATTATCGAACGTTAATATATTGACAATAATTAAGGTAGGTATAATTTACTTTTTGTGGCCATTTTGTGTATAGCTTTCGTAGTGCAATGGAAATAGTGCAGGCTAAAACTTCGCATATAATTGAATACCCCATTCAATCTGCATAAAAAAAATGGCAAAAAAAAAGAAATTCCGACCGACCAACCCTATTTTTGAAAGGCATGTAATCGGAAGCAGAACTCTTTTTTTGGCCTTTTATAAGAAAATGTTGTATACCAGATTTGCTAATATAATAAAATAAGCTATATTGGATATTTGAACAGTTTCATGCAAAATGTATTGGAATTTTAAAGTCCTATGCGGAAAAAAAATGTTTGCAGTGCATACTGAATAATATTCGTCCATGGGTTTACGAAGCGATTTTGAGTGGGGAAACTCTTTTGTATTGACTCAAATTCACCCACTTCAAATTGCGTCCTCTTATTGTGTCCATCATACTTCAACAAGGATAATAGTTTGTGAGGCTTGAATTTATTATCCAAGTTTCAGGTGCACTTTCATCCGGAGATTGGCAAACCTTGGTGCTTTCCGGGTCCAAAAAAAAAATGTCCTGTGCAAAATGTCTGACATTTTCCAGAGAAAATGTTGAAAACACCCGTTTGTTTACATATTGCTCGTCAGCAATTTTTGCCTCTCCTTTCAATTATTTCAATTAGTGAAAAAAGCCATTGAATTTCAAAGCAAAAGTGAAAACGTCACTTTCACGGTAGTGTTGTGTGCATGGTACTTTTTCTACTTGTCATCAATCTTTCCAATGATTATTATTTCGTGAGCTATGCGTTTTTAGAGCCCAAAAGATCGCAACCGGCCAAAAGTGCACATTTAAGAGTATTATATTTTGAGTGAAAACAATTTCATGTTCTAGCAGGTCTTCCAAAATACAATTTTCACAATTAACTTCTTGAAAAAAGGGATACTACAAAATGAAAATACATGCCATTGTGTATTATCACTGATTAAGCCAATAAGAATCTAAAAAAATCTGGGAAAAAAAACCTGTTAACCATCAGTTTTTATACAAATAATTTCTTTTGTCGGCATCAATATAGCACGGGAAACTCCTGCCTCTAAAGCTCATTGGGACATTTGACAACTCAAAACTGAGGAAGAGTCTATATCTTAAATATGGGTTAACCGTTAGACTGGTTCCGGGTCCCTCCATCATAGCCCTTACTCCGAATGTAGGAGGTGGGAACAAGTCCGGACGTCCATATTAGGGACTCAGGAGGAGCACTTAAAGTGCAAGTCTCTTTTGCTTTTGAGCATTTGTTTTAAGATTAACAACAAAATCTATCAAGAAGGGTGCATAACAACTATTAAACGTGTTGAATTTGCAGCTAAGTGGATACTAGACATTTTGAGAACAAATGCAACATTAATGGAGTCTTTTGTAAATGGACTGCGTTGCTAGCGCACGTACAGAACAGTGCACATATTAATAAAATAATCACCTTCAAAGAATGTTTCTTCCGAATGATACCATTTCAGGCAGGGAACTTGTTAGGAGTTCTGTCTTCGTTTTGAGCGAGGATTTCTTGTTAAAATCGGTTGGTACATTTCTAGGTAATTGCAACAGTGTTGCTATGTGCCTTAATTTGTTGAATGGAGCATTCTGTGCCTGATGTGGGCAGACCTTTATAAAATCACCTTCAAAGATTGTTTCTTCCGAATGATACCTTTTCAGGCATGAAACTTGCTACCAGTCCTATCTTCCTTTTGAGCGGGGATTTTCTTGTTAAATCGCTAGGTACGATTCGCGGAAACTGCAAATGTTCCTATGTGCCTTTTTTGTCGAATTTCCAGCGAGCACTTGAGCAAGGTTTTCCCAAGCTAGCATCGATGGAATTTACTCCTTAATTGTGCAGCCGAGGACTTCAAACCGCATGCAGCAGTGTCCATGACACCGAGTAGGCAGGATACGCAGGAATCTGGCCTGGAAAGCCTTCGGGAAAGTGGTGGTCACGTGGGTGTTTCTGTCCGAGTTTCCAGGGAACTGTGGAGTAAACGATATGAACACGATTTTGAAACCAGCGTTGAAAGGTTAACGGGGATGAGTTTTCCCTTGCAGTCACACGGTTTTAACAGGATGGACAGAGGGAGGGACAGAGGACAGAGGGTCATATGGCATGTATACTCATAGATTTCAGGGTTTTGTAGAATCAGTAAAATAAATAAAGATTTAAAGTATTTAAAACACTAAAGCAAAAAAACAGATTTGTTGATTGGAAAATGGTTGGAAGGAAACATAAGTCGATCTGACAACAAATCCCAAGGTTACCTTTTGTTCCCTTCTCATTACAGCCCTACTTCTTTTTTTCCATTTACTTTTAAATTCAAGAGATACGAGGAATTATGTTCACTTGGGACTTGAACCCACGACATTGTGCTGGTTGGAATCTGATCTGGCTTTCCTTTTCATCCAAATCTGCGCACATCAACAGGAGGTCGTGGGTTAGAGCCCTGGCCAATCGACTGAGTAAGCTGTGAAGTTTATCTCACAAACCCTCTGACAATACTTTACAAGTATTATATTCACTGTGTGGACTTCCAAACAAAAGAGGTCCACATAAACTATGTAGCAGCGACGTTGTGTGGATTTATCCACGTCCACACAATGTTTTCCCCTCTCTGGAAAACAGGTTTAGAGGCATTTTTGGGTAAGGTTTATCCGTGGCAAAATGAAGAGAAACACCAAAGGGAATCATAGAAAACAAATTGGGTTGAAAAAAATTTCACAGTGTGAGTTAAATTAGTTTTTTTTTCACAGGTTTTTCTTAACTACGCGAAAACAAAGGAATGTCTGCGCACTACGTATGTAACGCAAACAAGTCAGAGTAAACAGTGTTTATGAAATTACATTGGTGAAAGGGCAAACTGAGCGATGTGACTATACCTTCATTGGTGAACATGATCCATCATTAGTGACGTCAGTCCAATCTACGCCATCATCGCTGAAGGCTACTTTGAAGTCTGTCACCCATTGGTCAAAGTTACCATAGATGTAATCCCCGCGCCCCTGGGTGATAACGTCAGTGATGATGACACTACCGAGGTCGACTTGGACCCATGGATTGGGGTCACGGTAATTACACCAGGCTGCGGACCCTCTTGTGGCTGCAGAGTAAGCAGATAATCAAACCTGCTAAGCATAAAATTCCGCTTAGCAAATGTATGCACTAAAAACTGAGAACCTGCCACAAGCCTTACACCAGGCTACACTTGCAAAGCGGATAATAAGGAGAAAGCATCGCATGGCTAATTCATGCTCATCAACAAACGGGAGGAAAACAGTCACAAGCAATGCACATACTTTTTGGTGGTAACACTTCTTCCCTTTATGCATGGACGTCGCCAGGATTTTTTCTAGAGGGGGCAAAAATTCTTTTTTTGCAAAAAAATTCTTGTATTTATCAACACATTCTCGATTTATCAGTTTTAGAGGGGGGCAGGGACATTTTGCCCCCCCCCCTCAACTCATTAAATTTACACCACTTTGTCTTCGCGCCTCTTTTTCTTTTCTTTTTTTTTCATTTTTTTTTCTTCATTTTTTTTTTTTTTTTTTTTTGCATGGGCGTCGCGAGTGGGGGGGGGGGGGGGGGGGGGAGGCAAGTGCCCCCTTGCCCCCCCCCTCGCGACGCCCATGCCTTTATGTGATTTAGATGTTGTGCTGAGCGCCTGTATGGGTGTCAACCAATGAGGAACTTACGCGACTTGTGAAAGCTGTGAAACTTTCTGACCACAAAATGTGTTATGATAACATTGATAAAAAATGATAAAAAGTCTTATTTTTTGGTGTGCATTTTTGTCACCTTTAACGAATTATTTAGTTTGAGTTGCTTTATTCTTTATCCCATGTTGAACAAAAATAAAATTACCTTCAAGGTTAAGCCGAGCCCTGGTGGGTCCGAAATGGGCCCAGTTCCTCCACATTGACGACACAGTGATGCTTGCATCTGGGATGCGTCCATCTTCCATCCCTAAGGGTCCTACGTCAGAGCACTCCAAAATATCTGTCGGAGAAGAGGGAAAAAATCAATGAGGGTGGGAGGCGGTTTATTAAAACAATCACAACCATTTTTATTGATATGACGGCGGATTCCAACTTCTCCTGATCTTTGAAACGTGATATGAGACTTGATCACTTTATAATCCAATGTATTACATGAAAAGGAAACTACCAGAAAGGCCTTGGCAATATTGCATTCTAAGATACTTATAAAAAACAATAGTGGCTTCTGTGGCCCAAAATGTTTGAAACAACACTAATATTTGTCTTATTATTGAACACCACGACTGAATCACCCCCTTTATCGGTACCTCCATGTCTCATATCGTTTGAATATTTTTACTGCTTCCAAATATCATCGCTCCCTGTCACTTTCCAATCAGGAAGATATACATGAATGTACACACTATGAGGTCTCAGCAACTCTCTTGTTGGCCCCATTCTACTGGCCTTGCATAAAGTGTGAAATCATCGTTCAAATAATCCACGAAAGAGAAAAATTATTACATTCATATTTATTAACCTATCAAGAATACTGGCAAGCAATGACACAGAAAGCACTGGATGACTGTGTTCCTTTGGGTATATTCCGGCGGTTAATGTATTATTAATGACATAACATAACATACAGAAAGGCTTCAGTGACCACGCTTTTAGTGAACATATTTGTCCTTGAGTACGGCAGCCTTTATTTGGGGGATCCGGCACCACCCGGTCACCGTTTTAGAATCGTACGAGCTTTTCTTTCTTCTTCCGGACGATAATTCTCGGCCACTTTTCTTCAAACCGTTCACAGCAGGAACTTGAAACTTGGAATGAAAATCAAAACTGATACAAAGGTCACGTCATCATGACATCATCTGGTATCAATTACAAAAGCGTCATTTTTAACTCATTGACAAAATAAACAATCACGTTAATATAGGTTTTCCCGGGCAATATTCCCAAGTATTCATTCATTCATTGTAACGTCTGTGTCATTCAATTTTGATTAAAGTTAAAAGATCACGCATATCGTCATTCGACCATCAAAAAGAATCATTCATTTTCACTATCCCAGCAATATGTCGTCTTTTCGCTTCACTAAATTAAAAGTATCGTCTTGTTCATTCAATTTCATCTGAACTAGCAGTAAGGGGTTGATCGGAAATTCCTTTTTTTTTTATTAATGGGCAAACATATGTTACATTTTGTCAAGCATCTGTTTACTTCCTGCATGTCCGTATTCCTTTAAAATTCTAAATTATCTCAGCATAAATTACAGGTTTTCCCGGCCAATTTCCTGAAATGCTCATTCACTTCTGAAAATCGGTCGTTCATTTTCGTCTAAATTTGAGAATCGCTCGGAACACTCGTTTCATTTTCGCTACCAGAACAGTCGATTCCATTTCAGTTCAATCAATTAAGTGATTGAGCAGCACCTTTCGTTTATGTCCATTCAGATTCGTTTACAAGACTTCTATTTCGCTTTAAGAAGGCGATTTCAAACATTGACCATTCTATTTCACTTTTAGTTTAATGACATCGGCACCAGATACAATTGGTGGTTTCTTTTTCATTAACCGTCAATCAAATTAGCTGTACCTGAAATCAATTTAGAAAAGGTATGCTTGCGTGAATGAATGCACATGTAACGTTATTGGCAGTCTGTTTCTCAAAACCGAATGTATGGACAGTAAAAACGATTGAACTTTCGTTGAACTGAAAAGGGATGAATAAAGACATGCATTCAAATTCAGACGAAAAGGAAAGACCGATTTTCAGAAGTGAATGAACATTTCAGAAAATTGGCCGGAAAAACCTATACTTTTGATTCCGGATCATAAAGACGCTTGATCTTTACTTTCTGTGCTACCGAAAAGTGCAATGAGAAATGAATATAATAACTTGAATACGAAAACATCTTCCTACAATCAAACACAATTGATTATACATAAATGTTTAACGTGGGATGTAAAACACAATCAATACCATGATGACATCACTACTTGAAAGACCACCCTCTAACAGCAAGTGAAATAAAAGATTTCTTTTTAACTATAGGTTTTCCCGGCAAACGTTCAGAAGTTAATGAACATTTTAGGAAATTGGCCGGGAAAACCTATATTTGCTAACTTGTACCATATGGAGTCTTAAGACGACCACAACTATTTGGCGAAGTTTCCGAATTTTCACACGTTATTTACGTTAGGCATCCTAAAGCTATATAAACTAAACCAGATAAATCCTAAACCAGATAAGGCGTAAAATATACGTACACCTTCACGTCCGGGTAATTGTTGTATTAGGGGGAAGTTCTTTTCATATGATCTTGCATATGTATTTCTTCTTAAGTAAATCAACATTCATTGTGCACATGTTTTGACTTTCGACAGAACATGTATACACATGCTGTGAACATGTACATGTACATTTGTACTTGTATGAGTACTGTGCAGAATGTTCGCGCCATAGAGTTATATTAAAAACAAACTAGAGAGCGCACTCATCACTTGACCCCGTGCTGACAAGGACATTTTGTAAGTGGGCAAAGCACATGCGCACAACACATAACGTTCGGCAAAACAGCACGGTAAAACAAGACATCGTCGGGGGGGGATTGATAAGTGGAACCAACAGTGAAAAAAAATTACCCTCCTCTTGAAATATTTGCGTATCTGAACAGAAATTAATCCACATTTGCAGACTTGCTGGATCTTCCTGTGGATTGCGATGGCTTTTTTTTTTTCATTTTCAATTTTTGACTTTACAGGAATTCCATGACGTCTGTTTGCAGCGCTGGCTGTAATAAAACCTGTTGATCTAGGAGCCTTAACATTCATAAGGTTTTATTTTTTTCTCAGTGTGCACTTCACTCTGATGCTTTCTATTTTGCCTTTGAATATTCCTGTTTGACATGGTATTTGGAAATGTTACTGATTAACTTGAAAACAGAAAAACATCAGCCAGATGACTAGTTGCGCCCCCCCCCCCCCGATTAGTTTCATGTTTCCTGGGTCACTTCGTCCATCAGAAATCCTGTTCATATTTGCTATAAGCCCAAAAAAGAAAATATTCGGTCTCTGGTCAGACCGAAGTTCCGGAATTGACGCGAGGACGCGGCATTTTTTTTTTTTTTGATTTTTTTTTTTCTTCAAGCTTGGATTGTACAGACAAGGTGGGGTACTATTTCGCTTTTTTTGGTGTCCTCATGTACACTGGTGTCCTCCATAATTTGCCTTGGTGCTCTCGATCATTTGCCTTGGTGCAATTTCCCATTCCTTGGTGCTCTTTGGTAAAAAAAAAAATGAGGAGGTGCGGCAATAGAGGGCGCCGTTGGAGCTACCGCGGAACATTTTGGAAAAAAAAAATTGACGCGCATGATTAAAATCGACGCGCGCGCTGACCAGAGACCGACTTATTTTTTTTTGGCCTAAACCTAGGGAAACCGCAAAGATTTTCTAATACTGCAGACTGTCGGATAGCTCTACAAACATGAAACAGCCTGAGGGCTGTAAACAGCCAACACCGCGAAAGATACGCATTGCAGTCAATCCTGAAGTGTGCACATCCGGGTATTTTTTTGCCCACTTACAAAATGGCGGTGAGGACCACAGGGTGGCACGTCTGCATTGTGCGTGCGGTATAGTGAATGCGCGCTCTACTTTTTATAATATAACTCTATGGTTCGCGCATTGTTTCGGGGCTGAAGTGGCACGCGTGTTAATGTGGCGCTTCTACTTCTGAAAAAAAATGTTAGTGATGGAATGGAGAGGGTTTGCACCGATTCTTCTGGATATAGATTGATGTAAAGTCCAACTTGAGTCAAAGTCTACATCAGGAATGTAGTTTGCCCCAGGAGGAGCTGAGACAAAACACTCAGTAGGGAGTCCATTGGTTTGGGGCCGAGTAACTATAACCACGCAACAATTAGTCAATTTCAAACCGTGCTAATAAGTATCCTGATATCCAGAGGAATACTGACTCTTTTTATCAAAAACATTAATTCAGAACTTTCCATTCATTTAGATGAACAAAGAATGAATTTTCAACTTTAGCTTTCCATATATCGACCGATTGCGCCTAACATTACCGTGCGCCGCCACTTTTCTAATTGATAAATCCTAGCTGTTTTTGTCAGAACTTTATTAATAGAAATGGTACAGACTACTAGTACACACACGTACCCAGAAATTCACACTATTATTGAAACAGTGGTACCAAAAGAAATGATAAAAAGCTATCCGCACCTTTCCGCAAGCATTTTTAAAGGTCGGGTACAGAGGCAAAACGAGAACATTTAGTAAAAACGATCGCGATGTTTTTTTGTGTAGCGGCAACTAGACTGACAGTCTTATGGTGGCCCTGAAGGGACATCGCATATCGCAAACGTGTGCGCATACGTATGCGATGTCGCGAAATTTATCGCGAATGTGTGCGCACACGTATGCAATGTCGTGAAACAATTCGCGAATATGTGCGCACACGTATGCGATGTCGCGAAATTTATCGCGAATATGTGCGCACACGTATGCGATGTCGCGAAATTTATCGCGAATATATGCGCACACGTATGCGATGTCGTGAAATTTATCGCGAATATGTGCGCACACGTATGCGAATTTGTTTGCAATGTCGTGAATTTTATTGCATACCTTGTCGCATACCTTTCAGTAAAATTCCTAATGAACTGGGGAGTTGTAGCAGCTAGTCTGGAATCTAGACGTACTGTTAGATATAAATAGGGTCTGACTAATAAACCTGTCGAGCGCAAACTTGCTACTTGCCCAACTTTGAAATTTGCGCGCGCAAGTTTGAAACTCACGTGGTGTCATATTTCAGCCAATAAATTTGCGCACGCAAATTTAAATTGCCGTGATTTGCAGGTGTTGCGATCAATTTGTACTTGAACTGCACGTTCTATTAATGATAAATGAACTGCTGCGAACTGCTAATAATACCACCTAGATAAAATTACTTGATCTTCCCA